TTTTTTTTTCCTTAAATATAATTAATTTTCTCCCTGCTTAATACAATATTGTCCGTACCGGTACACGGAAAAGGTTGCGCATGCTCCAGCATTCCCGCGAGTACTGATACGGTCCGGTACACATTCCGGGTGGGACGAAACCGACCGGCCCGGCATTGCATTTCTCTTATGGAGGATGGGCAAAATGTACATAATACTCCCTATATTGGATATATTGTTTCTACTGTATTGATTGTTGATATGACAATTTATTATGATAATCTATTATCATTCATATTGCTAGACAGGAAGGATTTCAGATAGTTTTGTGTCTTCACCATTGATGGGATCTTTTCTCTTGTCTCTCACTTTTTTTTCTTCCCCGCATTTTAGGGTTGTCTATGACGTAAGTTTCCTAGCTCTGTAGCTCGATTGCTCACGTGGGGAATGGACCCTTGTATTTATGTACAGTAAACGTACATCGTGACTTGTCAATCAAGGCCCAATACATATGGAGTTAACCCAAAGAATGAAGGGTGAGTATAACAGCTCTATGGTGGAATTCACAGTCCAACCAGCATCGAAGATATCACATGTGACGTGTTGGTTCAAACTCATTCAAGAAATAGTACCATGCCAACACAGCATTCTTGGGTAAATTGCAAATCCTCCTTCTCCTCCAATGCCTACCAAGTAAGTTAATGGAAGGCAAACAATAATAATAATAATAATTCAGCATCAAATTCAAATCCAAATAAACATAAAAAAAGTAAAAAATAGAAACAGAAATATTAGCACCTTACAAGCTCTGCATAAAGACAACATCATGGGGGGCTATGATGACGACGAGGAATACAACGTAGCACTTAGAAATCTTCTGGTTTCATCAGCTGCATATTTATGTTTACTCGTGAGCCACGTCGTATTTCAACGCGCGTAAGCTGCATGGTGGGATCTATCTGCTAGTCCCCAGAAGATAAACACCTTGTTCTGCGAGCTGTCGATGCAAGATCAGAAAGTAGAGAACCTATTATCGGAAGTCCTTCGAAATCACTTGACTCTGATCGGAGAATATACAACGACAGACGAATAGACAAATAAACACACAAATGCACGCTCTTTTCTGCCTAAACTAGATCTCGCTACATTTCAACTACAGTAGAAGCAATACGACAGCTGGGTAGCGTACCCATTTCTGTTTACCCAGTCGTTATCACCAATAACATCTAGCACCATACCATATTACATCTGGAAATTAGAGTGAACCTTCCAGAAGGCTGTTGCCACTGGTGCAGGGACATTTTGAAGGTAACATTTGTGGGGTATCTGATAACTTTACTACCCCAGGTTTATAGCTTATCCGCGGCAGAAATGATGCCGATGGTAAGGGCACATGGACTCATGGGGACCATATTTGTCAATACCGATTTTGTCACTTTCACCGGTTACGTGCGCCTATCATGCAGGATGAGCAATTCTCTTCTAGTATTAATTTATTGAGAAGATCTGAAAATTTTGAAGATCATATGACAAACACCACATCGTTCATACTCCGGAGCAGTGGTTTAATGTTTCCTCGCCGCACAGTCCCTGTCATTTAGTGGGATTGATCTAAAAAGCTTGAGGCTCATTGAAGTCTATGATTGGAACCGCGTTGCATGATATACCAGCTTATCTTGTTCAAGGTGGTCCAAGTGTCGACTAGTAGGTGAACTACTAGATCTAATTTGTACTAGTACAGGAAACCTCTGTCGGTTGAACTGCAGGGCCACAATCTTAGGTAACAGATAAACCGGCTGGCGTCGGACTAGCTTACCGGCAACGATCGGCAGCGACTGTGAATGGACAGTTTACCGGCCCGGTCAAGCAGTTTATCCTCCGGTGGGGAATCTCCCCCCGGCCCGTGAACCGGTCGGTGATCTTAAAGGTAATTCGCCCCATTTTGATGGTTCATCTTCGGCACGGCTGTTCTTATCAAGAACCTATGGAAAATTCTTGATAACGCAGTATGACCCTGTATTCCGTAAGTATTACCATCGTGGACAGATGAGTACCCCGTAGGAGATAAGCTGCACTATTCGACTACGTCAGAAATGTCAACCTGCGTAGCTCAAAATTGGATTTTGGCTTTGACCTCAAGCGGAATGTAAAAGTTGAATAAGGCCCCTGTAACTAGAACATACACTGTAGTCTGTACAGTACTAGTCGTCGATCTTAGTCGATCCCATACTAACCAATCCAGTAGATGCGTGTGGGTAGATCTGGGCAAGAAAAACTTTCGCGTGACGGTATTGGGGTGTAATATTCACTAACAGCGCCACCACGCGAACGTCACACGTCAGGTATTCTTTAGTCATTACCAGCCAACAATCTTTTTGTTCTTCAGACCGGCTGTGCAATTGCGGTTTTCACCGGCTAACCCCCTTTACCCGTCTATCTCGCATCATGACTTTTAACTATGATCAAAAAAATGTCATGGAAAGCTACCGGTCTAAAATTTCCCCCTCAATTACGGTGGATTCCTCCGGAAGTACTTATTCATATTTCCGTACTTTTATTCCCTACTTAACCATCATCCTGTCTGCTTGACTTGTTCACACACACACACACACACACACACACACACACACACACACACACACACACATACATACATACCTCGACAAATAGACAGCCAGCTCTACACCTACCACCACAATGAAAGCAGCTCGCCGTCCTTTGCGCCCTCTCGCGGGCACCCCTTCCTCCGTTCTGACCCCCAGATACGTCAGCCGCACCAGCAATCCTAAGTCGTCGGTGGCGACTTCGACAACAACAACGAACAATGTGTGGCAACAAGAACCTCAGACTCCCAAGCAGGATGCTTCCCCTTTGGCAAAGCTTCCCATCTCATCGGTTTTACGCTCCCTCGTGATTCTATCCGTCTCATCCTCTTCACTTCTCCTGAAGCCATGCATCAAGACGCTGTCGATGCTGGCGCATCCTAAGACTGCTGTTCTGGATGTGGCCAAGAACCCTCTGCTCAATATGCTCGTCAAGCATACCATCTACAAACAGTTCAACGCAGGCGAAAATAAGCTTGAAGTCCAACGGTCCATTGAAGACATTAAACGTCTTGGATACAGAGGTGTGCTGCTTGGATATGCCAAGGAGGTCCTAGTTGGAGAGAGCAATGTGGACCCGAAGGATGAGCAAGCAGCCCGCGAGGAAATCCAGATGTGGCTGGATGGAACTCTGCAGACCGTCGATATGGCGCAGGAGGGAGACTTCGTGGCCCTGAAGTATGTTCTTTGTCTCGATTCTTTATATTGAACCCGAACGCAAGCTAACTGAGATAGATTCACCGGCATGGGTGTTCAGGCGCTTGATGTCCTGCAGCGTCAGGCTGCACCAACCGAGTTCATGGACCGTGCGATTCAAAAGGTCTGCGATTTGGCTATCTCGCGGAACGTGCGCCTGCTCGTGGATGCGGAGGAGCAGGCCGTCCAGCCGGGTATTGAAGAGTGGACCATGAAGTATCAGAAATACTGCAACTCTCAGACTCCTGGACGTGCCATCTTCTACAACACTTATCAGGCTTATCTCTGCTCCACTCCGGCAACCCTTGCCAAGCACCTTGAAATGTCCCGCCAGGAAGGTTACACTCTTGGTGTCAAGCTGGTTCGTGGCGCGTACCTCAAGACTGAGCCTCGTCACTTGATCTGGTCCACCAAGGAAGAAACGGATAAGTGCTACGACGGTGTTGTGGAGGCACTTCTGACCCGCAAGTACAACTCAATGCTGAAGTCTGCGTCTGAGAAGCACCAGACGGACCTGCCATCTGTTAACGTTATCATCGCCACCCACAACCGGGACTCCGTTCGCAAAGCACATGCACTCCGTACTGAGCAGGCGATGAAGGGAGAGAACCACGGTGTTGATCTGTCCTATGCTCAGCTCCAGGGAATGGCTGACGAGGTCAGCTGCGAACTTCTGCAAGGCTTCCAGAGTGCGGAGGTGATGAAGGGTGCTTCTATGGAGTCTCCCAATGTCTTCAAGCTTTTGACCTGGGGATCCGTCAAGGAGTGCATGGGCTTCCTGATGAGACGCGCTATTGAGAACACCGAAGCTGTTGGCCGCACCAAGCAATCCCAGGAGGCGATGTTTGAGGAGCTCAAGCGCAGGGCACGCCTGGCGTTCCGCCGCAGCAACTGATCATCTTTCCTTTCCTGTTCTTCCATCACTCTTAGCTTTCATTTCTTTCTTTTGGCGTGATCCCCATGTTCGCATGTTGTTGGCATTTTGATTGATTCCCTCACGCTCTGTTGGGCGAATTGCATATAGATGGCGTTAGCGACTCTTGTTCGGCGAATTAATGAATGATAACGAAATTAGATTCATCTGTTGTCCACTGGTTCTTATCTCATATCTATTGTAAGAGAGTGTGTAATCCCATAAATCGTTTCCGCCGGGAAATTAAGCACCCCCGCAGAATCCATTTTCCCGGCGGAATTGATTTAATCGTCCAGATAAAGCCCCGCGCTGCCATTGCCCACCTGGAAACTACTCCCGTGCATTGTTCGACGTGAATCTTGCCTTACCTTTGGCTTCATAATAGCGTAATCAACTGATTCAACATATCTCTTCCCTGACCGAACCAAACGATACAGCAAATATACCTTGACAATGTATCTTTTGCCAGAACCAGCCGTTGCTCGCTTTTTTAGAGAGCTGAATCGGGAACAATGTTATACACTTCTCAATGCTCTCTCTGAATCCCTGGTGGACGTTTCGTCTCAGACGACAATTCCAGAGTCAGAGCGGCTTATCCACCAACCACTCCGTACATCGATTATGACCAAAGACCAGAACATGTCGCTTTTCATGCCGACTTCGAATACGGCAAACACAGGGATCAAGATCGTAACCCTTTCTCAGGCACTTGGCCTTACCGCAGTCATCAATATCTTTTCTCCCGAGGGCAAATTGCTAGGTTTGCTTAGCGCAACCGAAGTGACTGCCTTCCGCACTGCCCTTGCGGTTATGACCCTGTTTGTTCGTTGCAATTCTCTGAAGAAGGAGAACATCGTGATCTTTGGCTCTGGAAGACAGGCCGAGTGGCACGCACGGCTTGCGCTTCTCCTAGTCCCGGATCAAGTCTGCAGCATTACGCTTATCAACCGGGGTCGTAAGAGGCTGGAAGAGATGAAAGATATTATTGCAGAGCTGCAATCCGCTCATCCGGGCGTTACATTTACAACACTCGCGAAAGAGGATACACCAGACTATCAGGAACAACTGCAAGCTGCATTGGCAGCCTGCGACGTTATCTTTAGCTGTACACCTTCCACGGAGCCTAACTTCCCCTATTCCTACCTCCAGCCATTTAAGCAGCGATTTATCTCTCTCATTGGTTCGTACAAGCCTCATATGAAAGAGATTGATACGGAAACTCTTTTTTCGGGTGGGCACCAAATCTACGTCGACTCGAAGGAGGCATGCCTGGAAGAGTCGGGTGAGCTGATCGATGCGCACGTAAAGGAGGACCAGTTGATTGAGATTGGAGAACTGTATGGGAAGCTCGGGAAATCCGAGCCGATCCCTGTCTCGGACACGCATAACGTGGTATTTAAATGCGTGGGCATGGGAATCATGGATCTCACCATCGGAAAGACCCTATTGGATCTTGGTAAAGAACAGGGATTGGGAATGGAGGTCGATGGTTTCTAGACGGGAGTCATTTGGGAGGTAGTGTAAGTGATAGTGTGCCTGGAAAAGACGATAGATTAAAAAAGATAAATGCCGTTCAGTTGTACGGAGTCAGTATCCGAAGTAAATATTGCACCCAACGTCCAATGCATATACGTAGGAGATAAGAAGGATGGAAATATATACATCTGTACATACAGTACGGAGTACAATGGTTGATTTCAATACTAGGCTTGGTTGGTATCGGATACAATACCAAGTTCCCCCCAGATTCAGTGATCTTCTCATGCGGGGCGGTGTAATGACAGGGTAATTGTACCCGCGTGCTTATCAGAGTGGAAATTTCAATCGAACTTCCAATCAGGCAAAATTATGTCAGTAACTAAACCGTACGCTTGGGTACTTTTTCTCCTTCTTCCCCCCATGACTACTATAGTCCCGGCAGCCACTGCACCCTAAACTTCCACCCCGACCCTCTCTTATTATCATTGGTATATCCTTACCATGCTCCCTCGTTTATTCTGGCCCCCTTGACCTCTTGCCCTACAGTTTACCATGGACAGTGGTCTACCAACACCAGCTGGACTCGGTCAGCAGAAACGACCCCGCGTCTCCGAAGAAAACCGCAAACGAGCCGTTCGAGCGTAAGTAGCTGTCGCACGTGGCTTCTAATCCTAGTTAATCGTCCGGGGGATACCTCTATATACTAACATACCAATCCTGATTTCCAGTTGTGATGGATGTCGCAGAGTGAAGGAAAAATGTGAAGGAGGAGTACCTTGTCGCAGATGTCTGCGTTATCGCCGCCAATGCGTCTTCACACACCCCGACCATGCGGAGAAGGTCGCTCGGTCCTCGTCGATCTCGTACGACCCCTACACCTTTTTCTTGGCCTCTGAGCTCGAAATACTTATAGTATATTGTATATCTAGTCTCCTCGAACGGAACGCGGGCCTCAGTCGCCAGAACCTGGTGGACTCGGAACGAATTCGGTACATGGAACGGATCCTTCAGCATTATGTTCCGAACATCTCTTTTGATATTCAGTCCCTCCGTAAAACTGCCGAGGAGCTGAAACATAGACATCGCCATTCTTTCACAGATGCAAGCCCTTCGATTCGCCTTGATGAGGAGGATTTCGAGGATTTGGCTATCGACGATGAGGATTATATGGTGAAGGCTTTACCAGATAATACAACACGTGCGTGCTATCACCCGAACTTCTTTTTTTTTGGTTGCTAGACACAGCTTCGTGCGCTGGTTCATTTTCTGATTCGAGCGACTGCAGAGTATTCCGGGGAGTTCTCCTATTTGAACTTGTCCATGAAAATTCGACAGAAGATAGATGAATGGATGAAAACGGCAGCACCAGAGGTAAAGCCACCACTCCTTCGTTGGTCATACTGCTTGCTGATTCTAGAAGGCCTCTACTGAAACAGACCCATTTGAAGAGCGATGGCGTGCGACACAGCTCCAATCGGGTTCCTCCTTAGTGTCGGCATCAGTGACTTGCCTGCCACCACGTTTCGTAGCCGATTTTCTTGTTCAAATATTTTTCAAACACGCGCAGACCAATAATTTCTATGTGGAAGAAGACTGGATACGAGAGAAGTTGAACATATGTTATACTAACCCATCAAGCCTGTCGTCCAATGATGCTGGCTCCGTATGTTCGATACTCATGATCCTGGCAGTCGGGACGCAGTTTGCTCATATGGAATCGGCCATTCCCGTCAATCGGCCGCCGGCCGACCTATCATCCATGGAGGATCATCACTTTTCGGAAGATGAAGTCGGCTTAACTTTTTATCAATTCGCTTCGAAGCTGGTTCCGGATATCCTTGCAACAGTCTCCATTCGGAGTGTACAGGCTTGCTTATTGATCGGAACTTACCTGTTACCTCTCGACACCTCGGGCCTTTGCTACACTTACTTCGGTCTAGCCCTTAAAATGGCTATCCAAAATGGCATGCACCGGAGATACCAGGGTGAAGGACTCTCCCCTCGGATGATCGAGGTCCGCAATCGAGTTTTCTGGACAGCTTACACCATTGAAAAGTGAATAATCCTCTGCCTTTGTATCCTAAACTCCATACTTACTCTGTTCTAGGCGTGTCAGTATTCTCCACGGGCGACCCGTATCTTTGTCAGATTCGGATGTGGATGCTGCGATGCCAGTTGATTTTCCGGGCTTGAACCCGACAGGGCAGGTCTCAAACCATACCAATATGGTAACTTTGATCACTTTAACTCTTAAACTTGGCGAAGTCGCCAACGAGATGTGCGTATCCACTTTATCTTTTCTGCTTTAGACCTTCGCTGACGCCATGAAAAGATCTGTCTTGCGAAAATCTCGCAGGGGTCAACAGCAGGATTGCGTTGAACGATTACTGAATTTGCGGAAGAACCTTGTCGATTGGTGGGCTACACTGCCAGAAGAGACCAATTGTCGAGACTTGAACCCCTCAGGACCACTATTTCGCTCCAATGTTCACTTGAAGCTAGATTACTGCCTGACTCGCATTTTCCTTGGGCGCCCATTCTTATTCAGCAGCATGAAGATACTGAACGCAACCACCCCTCAAGCCCAACCGTTCAAGACACCATCAGGCGTTTCAAAGAATAGGTCGACACTTATCACAGATTGTGTAGAAGCTGCCCTCGAAATCATTAATCTCTGCCAGCTACTCCGCGATGAATCCGGTCTTGCTCGGGCATCGTTCACTGAATTCAGCTCTTGCCGTGCTGCTCTCCTTGTTATCCTCGCACAGAGTTTGACGAAACGAACCGAGCGGTTACGGGAAGCGCTTGAAAAGGGCATGGTTTTAATCAAGATTATGTCAATGGGCGTGGGATCTGCACGCTCTGCTGTTAGTGTGATTGAGACCCTTGAGAGAGCCATTCGCCGTCTCGAGGATTGGAGTGAAAGACAAGCACCGGACAATACCGGGTCCATGGAGTCAGCATATGATCGCTTCAAGAATTGGGAAATGCTCTGGAAAACTGGACCGATGTCGCCCGAGCTTGTTCCTTTCCAAGAGCAATATCCGGCTGGAAGGAGTAGCATTCCACCTGTCCCTGTTACTCCAATGACCGGCACTTCCGGTGGCAACGACCCTATGGAAGGCGACGTCGCACATACAGAAATCACCACATTATCGGACTATTCCGCCTCTCATGCGGCTTCGTTACCCCAAATGCCTCGTTTTGGTTTCGATCATTTTGTGTCCAACTTCCCGCAAGAATTGGACGAGTTTACCGCCATCCCCTGCTTTGAACCCGATGCGCAGCAAAGCCTCTCTAGCGACATCAACAATCCGGATACCAAGTGGATGCAATTTACCAGTGATTGATTTAATCTAGCCCGTGGCCCTGGGTACATATTATATATATGTTTTTTTTTTTTTTCGCGATGCGTATTGGGGAGTATTATTCGTCTTATTAAGCGTGGCGATGTCATTTCATGTGCGATGCAATCGTTGAATATTTTCTATCGATAGTAGTCGATTCTCTACAGTTTATACAAGATACCTAGATAGTATATGCCGAATGCTTTTGTTCATTGAAGCAGAATCCTCAAACGCTTGAAATGGATTGAAACTAGACACGCAACGCATCTAGGCGGGTATATGTTTAATCAAAGGTGACCTTCTTACCCTGGAATGCAGCCGTAGCCTTCTGCTCCTTAGCCCGCTTGGCTGCCTCCCAGGAAGGATGCAGGGGCTTGTCATCCTCGGGCTTTCTTCTTTGTGCAGGAGGACCACGCTGAGGACGGTCCCCACCATGCTGAGACCTCCCAGCTGCACCTCGTCCCTGACCTCGCCTTCCCCTCGGGCCTTCAGAACCATCCGTTGCACCGCGGCGCATATCCCAGCCGCTATCCCGACTCCTCTTTTGCTGGTCCCGTTGCTGCTTTACGTGGTTTGCTCCACTACCGTACTTCTTTTCCCACAAGGCACGACGCGCCTGTTGTCCCATTCGATTCTTCCGACGTGGTTGCTGCCCATCGATGTCTTCTGGTTCTGATTCCGACCCGGAAAAGTATCCACCCATGGTTAGGGAAGGCAGGAAAGTTGTACTGGTAGCCGGGGCACTTGATGTCGTGCTGCTCTTGGCTTTCTGTTTCTTAGCCGGCGGCGAGTCTGGTGATGGAGATCGGGAGATAGACATGGCAGATGGCGCTTTTAGATTCACACCTCCATCGGAGCCATCATCATCATCATCATCATCATCGTCACTCGCTGCACCATCTGCACCATCCTCATTCTCATCATCCGAGCCCGGCGCAAGCCTTGAATCAAATTGCGCAAAGTCCATACTCTCCACATCGCTCATAACTTGATCTCCTTGATCTCCTTCATCTCTCTCCTCTCCGCCCTCCTCATCGAATTGCGCAGCTGCCGCAGCTATTCTAGGATCTTCCGGTTCACTATCTGACACGGATACAGCCCGCTGTTCCGTCTTCGTCTTAGGCGCACGTTCTTTTGACCCAGTCTCCTTGCCCTTCTCCTTCTTACCACCAGCCACTTCCTCCACCCCTAGTAGCTTTTTAATATCGGTCATAATATTCGGAAACGCATTCTTCACGGGATTGGACTTATACAATCGCGCAGTAACATTCGCTTCGGCCGTACTCTGTGGCCCCTCCGCAGAAATCTTCTTCGATTCTTTAAACTGGATAAAAGCAGGCGCCTCGGAGATCCGTTTCGTCTTGAACAGCTGTTTAAAAAGATACTTTTGCGCCGTAGCGGTTGGATCAAGACTCTACCATACCATATGTAATTAGCATACGACCAACCCCATTAAGCAGTATATCCCGCGCGTAAGTCCCAGCAACTTTGGAAGAGAAAAGAAAAGGTAGGTTAAAAGACAAACCTTGATAAAAGCAATCTCCTCCACAATTTTCTGCAACGCTTCAGAGCTCCCCTGCGACTTGGCGGTTTTTTCTCTCCTCGATAATTTCTGTCTCTCGAAGCCTTTGGCGACCTTCAGTGCGCGCGATAGCAGGACGACGCCTTGCTCGAACTTTTGCGTCAGGCGCATCGTCTGCACGTTGTAGGTGCGCTTGGGACCGGAGTCCACGTCGGAGAGTTTGCGTTTGGGCATTTTGGTTTATTTGATGTTGTTTTTCTTATCTTTTCTTTTCTTTCGCTTTCTGGTTTTGTGAAGTGTTGGATTATTTGCGGGTAAGGGAATAATGAGTTCGGATATTGTTGGTTGGTGTTCTGGTTGTTAAGTTTGGGAGGTCAGGTTGACGGGGTCTTAGAATATTCTTTTTTTTCTTTTTCTTTTTTTATGATGCGGATTTATGCCCGTGCCAAGAAGTGGATTTTGCTCTACTTATGCCGTTGCTTTCCTTCTACGTATTTTTTTAAACAAGGATTTTCTCACTAGTGGCCCTTATCTGCTTTTATTTCTATCTTATAAATCGGGGTGCATTGATTGGACGAGGGTGCTGGAGCTATCGATTAAACTATTTTCGGTGTTGAGGGTCAATTGGATTTTATATGCGATTTCAGTGGTGGCTTTCTTCTTCTCTCTTTTCTTCTCTTTCTTACTCCGTACATGATAAATTCTTGACCAAACAATTGCACTGAATTCACTCGTAGACGTATGTACATACAAACAGGAAAGGAAATACGAATACACTGCTCTATTTCTTTTCCTCGGGCTTCTCTTCGGGCTTGGGGGTGGGAAGCTTGAACTAGTCCATTTAGTTAGCAAAAGCAACTCCATTGCGAGTTCTAACCAACATACCGACTCGGGGGTTCTGTCAACACCCGATCCAACAGGCTCCCAGGCGGCAGTACCACCCTCGAAGTTCCGGAATGCCTGCGTAAGCTCAAGAGGCTCAATGACAATGCGCTTCTTCTCTTCGTCATATCGGAGTTCAGTGTATCCGGTCAAGGGGAAGTCCTTGCGCAGAGGATGGCCGTCGAAACCGTAATCGGTCATGATACGGCGCAGGTCAGGGTGGCCGGTGAAGAAAACACCAAACATATCGTACACTTCACGCTCGTACCAAAGAGCTCCCTCGAACAGACCAGTGACACTGGGGACAGGGGTGGCCTCATCGGCGTAGGTCTTCACACGAATACGGGAGTTGTGGCGGACGCTCAGCATGTTGTAGACAACCTCAAAACGCTGATCCTTCGTGGGGAAGTCGACGGCCGTGATATCGGAGATCTGGGTGAATTCGGCGGCGGTGTGGTACTTGAGGAAGCTCATCAATGGGACAACACCGGAGGGAGGAACGTAAATGACCAGTTCATCCTTCCATACGGTGAACTGTTGGACGTATTTGGGCAGACAGGACATGACGTACTGGCCGTACTGGTGCAGAGCATCGGCCTTGTCCTGGTACTTGTCGGCAGGGTTGACGACGGGGGCACGGAGGGCACCCTCAGCTGTAAATAGTCAGTCAATTGCAATTCGTCCCAGCGTAAGGCTATCGTCCGAAGTCACACGTACGGGGACGCTGAGCCTGGCGCATGTTAGGAGGCTCGGGAATCGACTCCTTCAGCAGAGGGGTCGTCGAGAAAGGACGGCACATCCGGGACGACCGCGCGGCCGAAGCCAGCGAGCGGCCGGTGCCCAACCGCATCAGGGAACGAGCAGAGGCCATTGTGGATGGCAATTGCGGGTGAGAGGCAACGGGGAGGTGGAGGGGAGACAGCGGAGATGCTCGTCATCCACTCCCAGGGAGCTTTTCCTCGAAGTTGGACGTGAGGTATCACGTGCACGCTGACATAAGCCACGCATTCTCTCGGGCGGCCTGCAAACGTAGCAAACGGGTGCAAACCCAACCAAAGCTTCACTTCTCTTTCTCTTTCGCCTCCAAGTCTCTCCTCCTTCTCCCTGTTCTGGTCCGCGTCTGTTACTCCCCACGTTGTCGATCTCTCTTTAGATTCCCTCAATCATTCGTCCTCTTCTTCTTTTTCTCTTGTCCCGAGGGTTTCTTAGTCTACCTTAATACGTTTTTCTGTTATATTCTTCCTCCTTCCGCCCCGTGTTGGTTGATGAGTACTGGTCTTTTAATCCGACTATCGTCTTTCTAGATTATACCTTTCCACACACACACATTCGGCAACCATGTCAAATCGCCAACAGATCGACTCCGTCATTGATGATGACGACGAGTTCTGGTACGCTCTGCGTTGTTGGGCTGCAATATGAATATGGTTGGGCTGACAATGACGCTCTTCTGTAGCCCCCTGTGTATTGAGGAATTCGACCTGTCCGACAAGAACTTTAAGCCTTGTCCCTGTGGGTATCAGGTACGTTACCTCCCCACTCTCCCGCCATTCTGACAACGGTTGTCACCGAACGACATTCGCGACCCCCCGTATGCGACCTAACAAGGCACTGACATAAAATGGCCAGATTTGCCAATTCTGTTACAACAATATCAAAACCCACAGTGAAGAAGGCCGCTGCCCCAACTGCAGACGGGTTTACGATGAGAGCACCATACAGTATAAGGTTCCTGATGCAGACGAGTAAGTGCACAGTTCCCTTGCGATTTGAGACGTTGCTTTTTCGGCAGTTCTTGGCGCTAACTGCGGATCCCGCAAACCAGATTTAAAGCGGACTTGGCATTGAAGCATCGAAAGGCTGCCGCTGCGAAGAAGAAGGAGGCGGAAAAGCGCGAGATCGAGGCTTCGAGTCGGAAGAACTTGGCTGGTGTGAGGGTCGTGCAGAAGAACCTGGTCTATGTGATTGGCCTCAACCCCACCATACGCGACGAAAGCCAGCTCCTCCAGACGCTTCGCGGACGGGATTATTTCGGCCAATATGGAGAGATCGAAAAGATCGTTGTCAGCAAGGCGAAGCCCGGTGGCAACCCCAATCAAGGCATCGGCGTCTACGTTACGTACTCAAGGAAGTCGGATGCCGCAACCTGTATTACTTCGGTGGATGGATCTGTAAACGGTGATCGTGTCTTAAGGTACGCCGCTTTACGACTACTTACTTACAGAACAACTCGATTATTGACTTGACTAGGGCTCAATACGGTACGACAAAGTATTGCTCCTCCTTCCTGCGCAACGAGCAGTGCCATAATAGGAATTGCACCTTCCTACACGAGACGGGTGAGGACAGCGAAAGCTATAGTCGGCAGGATCTCTCCTCTATGAACACCCTTTCCAGTCAACGTCCGAATGGTGCGCCTAGTGGACCCAGTCATACGATCCCCCCACATGTCGCCCGCTCTTCCGCAATGCCGCTGTCGCAACCGATGCGCCGCCAGCCCAGTAAAGATGATGGTGGTAGCAGCCGCCCTCCTGATGGGTCTGCCCTTCCTTCCTCCGCAAGTTGGGCGAATAAGGACTCGGTGATCAACCGCACAAGA